ATAAAATATAACATAACGGAATTATATAATAGTTAAATCTGGTAGGATTAAAAAAAAAAAATGCATATATTGCAAGTTGTTGAAAAGCATAGCTTTGAGGCTCTTAAAACACATAACTATTTTAATGGGAAAAAAATATATTCTACTACTACATTGATTTAATCAAAATTTAGCTTCTGAATTGTTGAAGAAATTTAAACAGCAGGTATAGTGATTTCAACTTGCAAGATATACAACTAGATTTAACCATTGTGAAAAATTTATAAAAGCTAAAGCTAAGCAATAAACAGTTTAGCACAGCTTAAAAAGATTATTACTAAAAATAATAAAATACAATAAAAGAAAAAAATATATTAACACATCTGTACAATTTTAAAAAATAAAAATATATTAATAAAAATACAAATAAATTATATATATTTTTAATGACTAAATCTATAACAACAAAGCTAAAGTCAAACAACAAAACAAGAACGGTAAAGCATAAATTTGATTGATATTCAATCCAAGCTCATTTCATTCCTCATTCATGAATAAATATAAATGTAATCTATATTTGTTTGTAACATGATTGCACTGTGGATTTCCATTTCCAGATGAAAAGGCCATTTGAATATGACAAAAATGATTGATATTTCTTTTTTCCCATTATGTTTTAACTAGCAACAATCATACCTCAGTAGGCTCTCATAGTTATTACAGTGATTCTATGGAAGGTGCACCATAACATGTATGTAATAAGTTTAAAACCTTTTATAATTTCAGGTCAAACAGATTAAAAAAATTAAAGTAATAATAGCACAATTTCAATATTATTTGTACTATTACATTAAAATGATCATAAGTTGAAAACTTTTTCCTTTGTAATTGATGATATTTTTTATTTATAATTTTTTTTATTGAAGTAGTTTTTGTTTTTATTCAAATTTGTTTGTAATAAGAGATTATTAGAATGAAAATTTTACTTTCATTCACATCATATATTAGAATTATCATAACTTTTTTTTATGTCAAGAAGTCCCTAAAACAATTTGAATACAGCTGTTGTACAAAAAAAATAAAAATAAAAATCCAATTTGATGCTGCAAGCATAATCTATCCATGTATATTGAAATTCTATTAATCAGAAACCAGTATACATCATTTATTTCAGGAATCCTGAATTGTAATTTTTTTTTATAATATTATTTTATCTGTTTATATGAATTTTAAAAGTTGATATATATATATATTTACATTGATTACATTTACATTAATTTTTATATGTCATGTCTTTATTACATATGTAAGAACATGATCTATAAGTGAATTGCAAAATCCACATTTAAAAACATAATTTATAAATCAAATTCTACATAATAGATTCAAATTCTATACATGTATATATTAAATATTTTATGTTAAAAATTAACTTTGTAATTTTTATATAAATCTGAATTAGCATAAATTAATTTTTTCAAGAAACCTTCAAGATGAATGGATAAACAAAGGTAGGCAAAGAAATGCCAATCATTTAATTTTGTCATATAAGCATTGCCTTAGGCTAAAATTTTAAAAGTAACTAAAACTGTTTGTGGATTGTACATAAAATTGTATTCAAATTCAAAATAAAACCATTTACACCTGTGTGGAATATCACAAAAAGAAATAATATACTTCAAAACAGTCTAATTAATGATGGTAGATTAAGTAATGTTTAACACCCTTTAGGTAGTTTTTTCTCGCATTATAACTTGGCGCTTAAGCATTTTTCTTTCAGAAAAACACATTAATTTTTCAAACACCCCAAGAAAATAATACGAGAAATTCATTATATGTAATACAAATCTAAATTTATTCCTATGAAACACTCAAAGCTAGTGGAGGGCTATCGGTACTCTTGCAATTCCCACAAAATAAAAAAGGTCATATCTTAAAATAAAATAAAAAAATATTTAAGCGTAAAATTCTAACTATATTCCGTTTAAATATCAGTTAGAAAATGACTAAGCAGTTAAAATTTTAAATCGTACAAAAATATTTATACTATGCACAAGACATCAATTTCTTACAACACAGCCTTGTAGATGGAAACAAGAAATCTTCAAGTGTGGTGGACTATTAGCTTGCATTATTACAACTAATTAAACTTGAGATTTATATTTCATACATTAAAACAAAAAATATATATCAATATAAATAATAATATAAATTTAATATAGTACTAAATCAATAAATATGATAACTGACTAGCAATGGGGACAAAATATCTCTTGAAACAAGTGCTCCGTAAATTTCTAAGCAATTTTAACAATTACCAAAATCCTGTAAATTAATTAACAATAAAAGTTCTGGCAGGAGAGGATTTTGGCCAAACTAATGAACAAGAGCAAGCTGCAAGCAGAGCTCTTGATAAAATTGCACTGAAAAAAACCTGGCTTGCCTTTTAGGCTAAGTAAGTTGGAACATAAAGCCATTCATGATTTTAATTTACCATGTGAATATGATATTTATCATATTATGATAAGCACATAAAAATGCTATACATCATTTCTTGTTTTGCTAAAAAGCACAATCCAATTTTTTAAAATTAATTTAAGTATGATTCATTAATATTGATGAATGTAAATATTAGCGATAGTTTTAATATTTACAAAAATTGCTAACAAGATGTTTTTCAAAAATTATATTATAATTGAGAAGAGAATAGAGAAAATAATGTAGAAGCTTTACTCAATCACTTATTAAGAGACATTAAATAAATATTTTTCAGATCAATAACAGATATAATTGGAAGGTTGTCTTAAAAAAATAGGTGGCTCTATCCTGAGTGAGTTTCGACTTTTGTACTTTTTTTGGGGAGGAGAGGGGGGAGAGAGGAGAGAAGAGGCAAAATCATCAATATAGTTTTTTTTTTTGCCTAAAAATAATACAGGTAAGTCTAAACCCCACAAGAACCAAACATCTTTTTACAGCAAACCCTCCAATTCTTAACATTAATTTATCAGGTTTTATCACAGGAGGAAGTCAGCTTTTAGAGTAATATTAATAAAATATGAGAAATAACATAAAAATTTGTTAATTAGAAAACTAATTATAAATTGGTAAGAACCAGAGATGGGCAAATGCTACTCTGAGTACTTAGTACCAAGTATTTTACTCAAATACTGACATTTTTTGAGTATCAAAGAATTTAATTACTGCTTTGGTTGATGTCAAACAATTAACTGAAATAGTGATTAAATTTGAGTAAAATACCTGGTACTCGATGCTCAGAGAAGCATTTGCCCATCTCTGGTAAGAACTGAAATGTATTATGAAGTTTAAACATTGTCCAAATCAACTTCATATTTAATGATTAACCATTCTAAGTCTCTAAGGGCCAGTTGCATCATTCACAGTTTTAAGCAAGATTCAGTTACCTAAGTTTAAACTACCAGTAACAGCTCAGCTCCGTTATCACCACTATCAGTTGATGGTAAGGTTAAATCTAAGCAGAGATTTAGGAAGCAAAGCTGAGTTTCGTTGGAGGGATGAGTGAAAATCAATCTAAACTCAGATAACTCTTAACGTAAGCTTTGTTGTATTGTAGCAACTAGCCCTAAGCCTTAAAAATTGATTCATTAAAGTGAGAACTTGGACTAGTTATCTAATATAAAATGCCTTCCAGGAATTATTATTAGCTTTTATAAGAAGGTAATAAAAAAACTTGTTTATTGGAATAATTTTATAGAAACCAAGGAGTATATTTGGACCAGTAAATAAAATTTCAGTGTATCTGTTCATATTTTATTAATGTTATCCCAAAAAAATTGATATTAGGCGATATCTCCTTCTTTATTAAAATAATTTAAATAGTATTCAAATTAATGTTATGACAATATAAAGATGAAGCTAATCGTATAAAAGATAATCATCAAACTAAAAAATATCAGTGAGATAAATAAGATTTATTAATTATTGTTTCAATGGTATATTTGATTTTGGTTTTATTACAACTCCAAGAGTTCATATTTTTAAAAAGAGAAATTAGGATGTTTCTAATTTCAGTTAAAATTGTTCACTCATATCAACCAAAACCAAAAGTAAATTCAATCATAAACCAAGTTAAATCTTACAGAGTGAACTCTCCTGAAGCAAGTTATAGTTTTGATATTGATAAAGAGCATATTTATAAAAAAAAAATAATTTAAACTTTGATAGATTTATTTACTAATCTCACATTAGAGAGATAACCTATAACTTCTGAGTTTAATTAAGTTTAATCCCACCACGCTGAGGATACTTCTGCATGAGAAGTGCCAGTATCGGGTTAAGAAATACTGGGAGTATACCATTATTCTATAAAATGGCAAAATTGGAATAGGAAAACAATTAAATTTTTCAAAATTAAAAAAAATCTAAAATGAGAAGAAAATGTGACTAAACAGAAATAACCATACAGACAATAATTTTCCTTCCATAAAAAAAAAAAAAAACCCCAAATCATATAGATCATTTGAATAGGAGAAACAAGATCTTATAATTTTTTTTTTTTGTTTTGTTTAAAATGTTCAATAAACAAAACATTAAATTTATAAATAGTTTTATTTTAAAATAGTTTTCACTTGTTTCATCCATAAACTGTTCTTGGGGAATAGAAGTGCTTCAAATTGATCTAAGTTGCTTATACATTTTGGCATCAAGAATTATGTCGACGGATTCATTAGAGAACTGAATTCATTGGTAATAACCAAATTATTATATACGTTATATAAAATACAGGATTAATTAGAATTCTCGACACCTTTAATATTTCTGTTACCATTGAAACTAATTAAAATAAGAAGACAAGCAAGCCGATGTTTTGCTACTAATGTTTTGTTTTGACAATATAGTCAGGTCTGGAGAAAATGAAAAGTTGAAGTTCTAATATCTTAGAAATAAATAATTGAAACACAAACAAAACTGCTATTGTAGTATTACTTTACTTAATAAGTAAAAACGACGAAAAAAGTCGAATGATTGTAGTTTTATTCTTTTCAATTTGATAATTAAATCTCACTGGTTTTAGCACAGTATCATTAGTTAAGTTTTCAATTAATGTTGTTTAAACATTTTTTATTTGTATAAATATTAAATGATTATCAAATAGCTCAGATGTTCTAAATTTAAATATGAAAAAAATACAAGTAAAATAGCTAATAAGATTTGATTTTATTTGTTTAACATATCCGAGAAATATTAAAAATGGCATCTGAAAAAGTCACTTAGTCAATTATAACACAAAAAGAAAAAAAAAAAATACTCAAGATAACTCTGCTCAAGAGCACTTGCATCATTGACTAAACCAACCCGAAACACATACTATAACTTAATAAAATAACAAATAAGAGAGGGAGTATGACCTCAATCATACTACCTGCCTCATATTTCTCGTATTTAAGTGCTTACCTCAAGCCTCAACGGTAACGCTATGTCACACCGTAGCGTGTTCAAGGCAGCTCTCCCGGAGGAAGTCTGAGAGAGGTAATAGTTATAATCAGAGTGGGGGTCAGGGCAAGAGTATCGTTAGCCTGGAAGGGCAGAGACAATACTACGAGACTAATACAACAAGGCTATACGAAATAACGAAGCTACGAAGAGAGGCCGCTAGTCACAGACGGAGACCACCACATGTGCAGCAGCATTGCCTCCTTTGGGACCTCCTACCCTCGCCACGACCTTCACCCAAACGACGTTTCCTAGGAGTAGGACTCAGCTCCTCATCACTACGACCTATAGACGGAACAAAGAAATAAGTTAACACAAATAATTCCTACAATACATTATGATATATTTCTCACTCCTTTCAATAGCATCATATCTAAAAAAACATAATTTCCATACAATTATGGGCAATGGTAAGACCAGCAGTTTTATTGTCTAATGCAAACATCAATAACTTACCCACTAACCACCAGTAGTTTGATATGTACTTGCGAAGACCAGGTACTGAAACAAGATGGCGCAATGTCTGAGTATCACCACCAAGTGCCTGAAGTGCCAGCAACTTCAGAGATACAGGATGGGATATAGACAAGGTCACCCGCATAGCACTTTGAGCTGCAGTAGAACATACCATTGGGTACAGAACACTGTTTCTGATGGAGCGAAATGCTAACCCTGAAACAATTTATAGGTGGTATTTATTATATATTTCCATGTATTATACAATATATACAGTTAATAGATAATGAATATAGTTAATACAGGAATTTATAAAACATAAATATATGTTCTTATGGAAATGTTGCTAAATATCTTAGCAGGTTGACAGGGTCTTGATCACACTTTACATTAAATCCTGAAAATAGTCGTGTCCATAAGTGTACAAAGACAATTGACCCCCATGTCTTTCTAGGAAATAAATTATGGAGGAAACTTATTTATATGATGATGAAATTGAAGTGAAACCAGAGGGTTATATTTTATCCCTTCACCAAGCGTAGTAAGTCCTCCCTCTCCCCCGTGAATATAGTTTTCAACACTAGACAACTTTCAGTATTCCATTACAACCAATGTAATCTTGACACACCTGTCAACGAGACGCAACGTTTTTTTCAGAAAATTCAAGAAAAAACTGACAGTTTACAATTTTAGAAGTATTATATAAAACTTTCCAACTTAATGATATTCTGAAGAAAATGGAACATGCTTAGATCAAATCACCTGGCTCAGAGATAGATTGTTTTTATTTCATAAAAAGTTTAAAAAATTGAAAACTTTAAATTTATAGATTTAGAAGTTTTGATCATAAGTCTTTTATTGTTTAAATATTGTATTTTTAACACTACAAAAAGTCCTTCAACCATAAAAATTATTTTTAATTTATACTGCATTTCCTGCAACTCCTTATTCTATGTTCCTCTGTCCACTCTCTTCATACCAGATTTCAACCTATTGTTTTATATATCCCCTCTTCAGCAAATCCTTCGTCATTCATGCTACCTCCTTTTGCAACTCCTTACCTATCTCCATAGGTCAAACCATGTGCACACATTCATTCAAACAACTCCTATTCCACTACTTGCTTCACATTCAAACTTCTGCACCTATGTAAGATTTACTAGATTCTGTTAATTCAATTATTCATTAACAAATAACCGACAAGTGCCATTCGCGTTTATTTCAATTTATTTTTTTTTGTGTGTTTTTATACAGGTAAACCGTGTACAATTTAATAGTCTTTATATATTATATAATTCAATTAACTATTAAATGACTAGTAACTCTTTGTATTTTTTCGAGCCAGACTAATGGGCTTACTTTTTAGAAATCTGTTATTATTCTTAGGGGACTTTAGTTCCAGAATAAAATAATTTTTTCATTCGTTCATTTCAATAATGAAAAATAACTTTTTTTTAATACATCAAAATTTCAATATACTGAATGTTTATCAAGTGACAGTTCAAATCAATTTGATCTGAACATTTGAAGATCTGTTAGCTAAAGTAATCTAAAAAATAAATTACAAAATTCATGATATAAAAGTTAAAAAGAAAGAATTAAGGACAAAAGAAAATATTATACCTAGCGGGCGACGATTTAAAAAGAACTCAAGAGTCCCTTTCCACATATCTAAGTAGATACCAATAATACTTCCCTTGCCAAAAGGTGGTCCATACCATTCCATTTTTCCATTGTGTTGCAGTCTACCTGTAATTTTTTTTTTCTTTTAATAATGAAAAATAATATTTTCTAAAAAAAATCAACAAATTTTAAAAAGCAAGCAAATATAAAGCAGTCAAAAATAAAAAAAAATACTACAATGAAAAATTCATATTTAATATTCAAATGACCAGAATTAAATAAAATAATTACAATGCTAATTATAATTCATTAACTTATAAATATCTATGGTAAATAAGGAAAACCAAACAATGTTAAGACCTTGAAGACAGTCAAGGCTTAGAGTTGATAAAGTATTCATATCCTAAACATTTGTTTCAATTTTTAAAACTCAGTAGTAAATGAGGGGACACCAGGCAAAAAAGATGAAATCCAACCACATTAAGGAATTTGGTGAGTCCATCTAAGCTTTCAATAAAATAAAATTGATTATAATGAAATGAAATTAATAAGCAATTAATAATTAAATATGAGAAAATTATATTAATTTCTAATAACTCTTCAATAGACATAAAAATCATTGAAATCATTTATACATAAATAAGAATAAAAGTAACAATGGGTAGAGAAGTCTAGATAGGACATCTTCTCCTCATTCTTTACAAGGATTTTTAAAAAATAAAATAGCAACAAATCTCTGAAAAATTGGTGGACAAAAATGTTAGTTAGTATTTCAACATTTTGAAAGAAACTAATCACAAAATAAAGACATCCTTCTATATAAAAAATGAGGTAAAGTGGACAGACAGATTTTTTATTCCATTTTCGGAATCTACAAATGAGTGGCCTCATATAAAAGACAAACATCTTTCATTTATAAAAGGTTAGGAAGAAAACAATTTTTGTCACATAGTTTCAATTAAAAACAATTCTGATGATTTCGTTTCATGATTCAAACTTAAACATTCTTATATAAAATCACCAGAAACAGTTCGAGTTGAATCTATGAAACAAAAATTAATTAGTAATAAAATGTAAGACACTATTGAAATCATTCTTGAAAACTGGATATAAGATATCTTCAGCCATATTTCAAAAATAAGTATGTTAATATATTATATAGTATGTAGGCTTACTTTTCTCATTACTTTTTAAGAAAATTAAAACACTTTTTTAAGTAAATTCAAAAATTCTGTAACTGTATTTTGATCACAATAGGATTGGTTGTGTTACTCCATATTTCCCATACAGATCCAAGCAATGAACCTTACTGACAATGACATTCAAGATATCAATGGTATGTGCTGTTAATATTTATAATTAAAATTTATAGATTTTAAAATCACTGTTAACCAAAAGGGAAAAACACTGACCTTGCTAATAACTGCAGAAAGAAACAGAATTACTCTTATCAAACTAATTGTGGTTCTTTTCCAATCATTTAAAATACATTAAAAGAGCCATACACATATTGGTAAATAAATTTGTTTTCGGGCATTTGAAATAAAATATATACTTAACAGTATAAAGTTCAATAGAACCTGTTAAGTATGATAATTAACATGCTTTGATCTCTAAAAATCTTAATTAAATATAAAGTAGATAGACTGTAAATATAGAATATATCATAGCAACAAACCACTAGCGGATCCAGGGTTTAATTTCGGGAAGGGAAAGGGGAGTGGGGCTTCAGCCCGAAAGCTTTTTTTTTTCATATATATGACGATAATTACTTTAGAAAAAAAGAAAGATACTAACTACATCTATTAAATGGAGTTTAAGTGATTCTTGAAGTCCTATTAAATGTAATTCACGAACAATAATACTTGAAGAGATGATTTTTCACCATAAACATGGTTACATTTTACAATTTTGGGGGGCTTCAGCCCGAAAGCCTTCTCTCCTCCTCAATCTCCTGTATACCCGCCTATGCAACTAACTAGTATTAAGAATCAATAGTATTAATGAGCTGTAAATAAAACTATTAAAACATCAAGAATAAGAACAAATGGAAATCGTATTTAAATTACCAGAATATTTAACAAATGAAGATTATAAAAACATTTTAAACGACCATAAAATTCCTTCTAGTCTTTGTTTATTCAGTTGTGGCTTTATTATACAGCCAGATTATGACATTTGATATAAAGCAAGAAGATCCGAGATCACTCTTCAAATGTTTCAAGATAACACATTAAAGAAGTAAAAAAATGTATTAAAAGAATATCTCGAGTGATGAAGACTATCATGAAAAATAAGGGAAGATTTTTTTGACAAAATTCTATTATTTTAGGTGTGTTTTGTTATATTGTAGTTTTGTTTCTTTTATTTTATTAATTTTTATTTTTTACTCTATATATTCCAAAATGCTTCGAATTTTTCCAAATAACTGTGGTGGTTTACAAAGAACTCTAGACCAGCACTGTAAATATACATGTACAATGACCACTAACTTCAAGAAATCAATTAAAAGAAATTTTTTAAACATTCCTGACTAGTTCTGGTATTTAATAAATTATTTATTTTAGACCCATAGTAAAACAGCTAGCAATTATATTTTGTCTTATCTTTGAGAATGAAACAGAGCATTGTGATACTGTGGATTGTAAAGGCCCCAATGAAATTTCAGGCTTCTGAAGAAGTATATCAGATCTTATAAATTTTATTAGAATGAGCGTTTACATGCGATATTTGGTATGATTCATGAAGCTATATTCCCTGTGTTCGTTGATGATTTGGTCAACTGTCGTATTTAGGCTTAAATCAAAGGAAGCTTGTGACAAGTGCCATGCAACTGCTAGTATAGTTTGAAAACTCAACAGATATTCTTGTTTCTTATTTTCTTTAAATAGAATTTTAATTGTTTATAATCAGTTGTTTTTTTTTTTTTTACAAAAGTAGCTGAGACTAAATGAAACAGCTGCAGATACTCAACATCTGTCATGCTTATTTGCCTCTAACATGATTGTGTAAATACCAATGCTTGACCTAGGCAATCTTATCATAGAAAGCAATCTTATCATCTTATCTTATCATAGAAGATCTAGAGGATCAGACATGGAGGAAGGACATTTAAAGAATATTAACTACTTTCCACATTCTAAACATATTTTGGTATTCAACAAATTAAAAATAAAGACTTAAGTGAAAGGATCTGCATTAAAAATCGTTGATGTTCTGTAAAAAGGGCAAATCCAAGAATTTACTTTTTTCACGAGAACATATTTTACAAGACCAAAAGACCATACAAAAAGTGATGTTTTTGCTGTTGTTACAATGGATAATTCACAAGATAGATACGCAAATTTGAAAGTTACAGTCCTTTCTTACAGATTCGAAGATATTATTATTCTAAAAAATATTATCAATCTAAAAAACTGAAAGTACGAAAATAACAGTATGTTGAATTCATTCTTTTTAAAAACATCAAAGAAATATTTGACTTTGAGGAATAGAGAGGAAAAGAGAATTTAATGATTTTCTTTTTATTGCTCTTTTAACTGGTTCATTTAATTTACAACTCAAAACTACCACAGTTCAAGGTATAGAAAAATTGAACGAGGAGCTAGGTAGAATGGAGTATTAAAATATTTTTCCAAGCAACAATCCCTATTATTTCTAAAATTTCATATAAGAAGTTCTACCACTTAACCCTTCAAATATTTTACACGATTATGTGGTCGATTTATGCATCATGAAATATCTATAAAAAAACTAAAACAACTTTAAAAAATAATGTAAAATTAATATTTATGCTAATTGATTTAATTAATAAAAAGGGATAAAGCAATAAGCCGTAGAGAAATGAAGAAAGCTAAGTCTAGTAAAAAATCTCTGAAATTTTAAATAAAGTAACAATAAAAAATAATACTAAATTCTTGCACAATAGTAATGATTCTCAAATTTTAGCAAATATACATTTTAACCTAAACTTTCAAAATTAAATTTAAACATTTATATTAATAATTTACAGTTCAGACCAATTAGTAGTAGACTCGGAAGAAAAATATTGTCAATAATAAAACTTCTGCCTAAAGATATATAAAATATAAAAGGAAAAAAAAATGTTATCTACTTACCAGTATAAGAAAAACCCCAAGATTCCTTATCAGAACCAAGCAAGCTACAGAACTGATAAGCTGACTTATGAAGTTCTGCTTTTTTAGTACCAACTCCAACCATCTACAAAATCAGAAAATAATCAATCAGACAATTAAAATTCATTGAATCTAAAAATCAATATAATAATAACAACACATATTTCAAACTTACCACATCAGTCCCATATAATGAGGTAAGCATTTTTATTTCCCAGTAGTAAACATTCCCTTTTTTCAAAGGAGAGTCCCCGCGGACTGCTGCAGTTCCAGAGCTATAGCCTGGATGGAATCTTACTTCTCTATTTTGCATGCTTAGCAGAGTAGCATTAGAAGCTACTTGATCATCCCATGCCCATTCGTGAACTAAAAAAAGGAAATTTTATGTAAATAGTCTGATCCAGGGACTTTCAGAATTACATATTTTAGGTGTTATTTATTATATAAAAATATGGAATAATGCATGACAGAATCATAGCTAATATAATTCAACTAAATAATAAGAACAATTTTACACCAATACAATATAAAATGTCATAATTTATAAATCAATACCAATTTTTTTTGGTTTAAAAACCTCGAAAATATCAAGGCAATAACAAAAATTAAAACTAAAAGTGATACTACAAAATTAAATGGAATAAATTTAGCTAATTCAGCCAGTTTATATACAGAAATCACAATAATATTTTACTTACTATCTTCGATTTCTGCGCAGCACGTACAAGTAAAAATACCCATGTTATTCATACAGCGGCACAAACAAAAATCGTCTTGACAAGTATCATTTTTTTCATCGACGAAAGTAATTTGTCTTTCAACAGTAGCCATTTCAAGAAACTTCGAATTTCAAAACACTTTAAGTATAGAACAATCAACTATAACCTGAAGCAAAACAAATATGTATCAGCTGATAAATATACACCGACCAGTCCAGAACTTCAAATCGCCCACTGGTTTCAATTATCTTTAGAGCGGGAAATTTGAATTATTTAGGGATTCTTTGTTATTTTACCTTACATTGGAATAATTTGTTATTTTAATTATCCAACTTTCTTCTAAAAATTTTACTTGCAGGATATTATACAGTTTTTAAACTTAAAACAATATCTATTAGTTATTCTTTTGGTCACATATAACTTCCGGGACGTTATACCTATTAGGTATTACAACATCCATTCGTTAGAATAATACTCTCAATAATATAGAAGTTTAAGTTATAAGTTAACGATATATTTTTACTAAGTCATTAAAATTTCTGTAATTGTATAAACGATGGAGTTCTCACTTGCTCAACTGCCTAAAATCAATAATGTGGGAGATGTATAACGCATGCTTGTGAAATGTGACAATCGTTTAGCTGTTTTTATTAAAATTCACCCTCAAAAATAAATAAATATAATTTAGCCATTTTCAAAAGGTTTAAATTATAGTTTTGAAACGAATCAATTTCTATTTTTGAGTCCAATACAATGGCTACTGAAATAGGTTGAAACATCTATTTATGGTAAATGGTGTGTATCATTCGTTAATAAATATTTATTTATTAGGTTCCTTCCTTAATTTAATTACTTAAATCACCTTCTATCAAATCATTATTATAAACTATGTTTCTACCCTATTAAATATTTGTGATTGTTTATTTTGTTTGGGAACTGAAGCAACTGCTTTGGTCTAAGAAAGACTGAACCCTTTTGTTCCAGTGGTGAAGGTACATTTGTGTGAAGTATTGGCATGCATTTCTGGATTGACAAGAGGAGCCAGACTTGCGGTTTCTCTGGAAGGCATAGAGTCCCACCCTCTCTCTCGTCCCGAGGCAGGCTACCACAATACTTTACTGTACTGATATTAATCATTATTTAAACATTGCACCTAAGCATTCTCATGAGTTTTATGGTAGCACAGTTACAGTAGAATATAGATTGCTTCTCACAAAAATTATGCAAGCAGTACTGAACGAAGCAACTTGAATGTTTTCATTACACTCCATAAATTATGGTACATTATAAAAAAGTTTTCTCTCTTTTTTAAGTTATATATAACTTTATTTTTAAATTATGAAAATGATAGCTACTAACATCTGTGTAACCTCAGCTTTCTTAAGATACTAAGATTTGTTATCTGTCATTCAAGATATAGACAACTCTTTCGCATTATCTAATCACACACTACATAATATCTAAGTACAATTATGAGGTACTCACCTCATTTTAAATAGCTCATAAATTCTCAACTGCAATCAAAACCTAAAGTGTATTTGAGCTCTTACAACTCCAGAATTGGATACCGTAAGATGTAAGTGAAAACGATAACATATATGACTTTTGAAAATTAGGAAATAGTTTTCAAAATTTTTAAATTCATTGTAATTGATTAAGAAATCTATAGTTTACTTTTACTAATGCTTTTAGAAAAAATTCTTTATATCTGCAATAATTAAAAACAGGATATGTATTTAAAATCCTTACATTTTTTCCTTGTTAAAACATAGAAAAATAAATAAGTTGATAAACTTATATGATATATTGAATTAAATATCATTTTTCTATAAAAATATTGTATCTAAAAATGATTGCAAGTTTAATTATTTCTGTTCTAATAAAAATACTCTCTATTCCCATGATTTTAAATTTGTTTTATAATAACTATAACCAAAAATAATTATTTAAAATATTTGTTCTGAATTTTGTTGTAAATAGAAGAATAGTCGCAAAACAATAAGTATATATATATATATTTAACTCTCTCCATTTTTCTTATCGAATTTACTGTTTCATATTTTATTTTTATAAATTTGAATGGCTGGATATAATTTATCTTATTATATTTTTGAACAAATACTGGGTTTTTTCTATGAATGATATATTATTTTTTTATATTGCTACCTAATTAGGTTTTAGATTAAATAAAATATGTATATTCATAGTAACAATTTTGTTATATTTCACTTAAACATTATTTAAAACTCCATGAATATTTAATTCATATTGTAAAACTAACTATTACTAAAACTTTGTTCATGCTGCTAACTTAGTTAACATTTGCCATATTATTTAATATCGTACTACATTGAATTACAAGTTTTTTAATAAGTGAATTTCATATTTATATATATATATTTTTTATATTATCTAATTATTAATTTTCTAAATGCATTTGTAAAAAATATTTTTTTCTCAAAAAAATTCATCATCCACAATTATGAGCTTGGAACTACATTTATTTATTTTTTAATTAAGTAAGAAAAAACTGTCCCTTTTTTTTTTCAAAAATCCAAGTTGCTGTGTAAATAGTTTTTAATCTTTAACTCTCTCATATCCAATGCTTCTTGGATTTATATTCCTTTGATTACAATGTAAACAAGTGCTTTTGGAAATAAATTGTATATAATATTTTATCTCTTTCTTAAGTTTTTCTAAAACACAATTTAATTATTAAATATTGGGATGAAAATTTGTTGAATAGATTATTGACAACAAATTTATTGGCACTTATTAATATTTAAAAATGATTAAATACTTGGTTAAATGTAGCATTAAGATTTCGCTTTTTTTTTTTTTTTTTAACAGAGTTCCCATAATTTAAAGTTATCAAAGAACATTAATACTAGATTTATTGAGCTAGTCATTTTGACTGATATATTTATTAAATAAAGAAAATTACATTTTTTAAACTTAATAACTTCTTTAAATCAGAGTTGAAAGTACTTTATTTGATATTAAAATCAATTAGAGTCACAGGATTTATTTTAATTATTGACAACATACTAGTGCATAATTTTATTTAACATTGTTTACTTATTATTTATTTATTACATGTTCTAATAATGCAGATATTTTGTATGAACCTACAGTGAAAACTAAGTAGCTGTTCTTTGTGTTGAGAAAAAATAGCTTATAATATCAACACTTTTTGTTATCCCCAAGTTTAATAGTGTCCATACACAATTTTTGAAGTGATAAATGTTATGTTCTATGTGTAATAATTTTATTCAACATACAATAAGTTCCTAATAATTGGATAAATTTACATTTTCAATGTATATTTTCCAGTACACAAAGTCAATGTGTAGTTATAATCACTTCCAAATTATTTTGTGGGATGATGTTTTCATATTAAAATGCTTGTGTTCTATTTTAATATATTTGGTGATTTATATTTTTTTTTTTTGTCATTTTAAAGAGTCAATAAATCATTTCAATGTGGTACAAAATTAAAGTAAAATGTCCAGAATGACATTTGTTACTTGTATATAAAATAGATCTGATTTGTTTTAGGTGGAGGCGGCAGGAGGTGGGGGGTGGGCAAGCCGATGGTGACCCCCGTCCATAGATTCCAACATATAGACTCAGTCACATCTCAACCTCAGTCTTCCAGACAGACACGCCCACCTCCTTACAAGTACGATATATATATTTTTAATTGTTTCATATTTTTAATTAGTTTTAATTTCATCATTAATATTTCCAATATAAATTATTTCATGGACCAAATTAGAATAATAGTTTGAATCTCTGAAACTGGAATCTTTATTTCTAAGTTGAATCGATCACATAAAATCTATTTCAATTTTTAATGCTGTCATCACATTGTAAAACCAATTGGAAAGATCCACTAGAGCTTTCTGAAACAAAGCCCATTAAAAATTACAACAAAAAAAAAGTAAAGATTATTTCTGGCCATCAGACCTTTCTCAATAAATAAAAGAAATATCAAAATTTCAAAAATATAATGCCATCTTGGTAATCTAAACTCAAAAAAATAAATAAATAAGAGAAGGATGGATGGATCGAAAATGTAGTTCAGGAATAAATTGACAAAGAAAAACCTGAAATTATATCTCTGGATATTTTCTCAATTCATCCCTATGATCAGTTTCTTTCAGGGAATCTCTCATATTCCTCAATCGCCACTATAACAGCGCCAAATATGCCCCTATGTCAATCCTTTTTCTACTTCAACCAAGATAACAAACAATGTATAATAACCTACAAAAACCAAAATTAACAAAAATAGGAAAGTTCTTAAAAAAAAAAAAATATGATTTTAATACATACTAATTCAATGTATTCAAGTGAGTATACACATATACACAACCAAATAGTAAAGTCTGTATGTATTGATTAAGTTTTAATATTTTATTTTAAGTAGTTTTTCTAAACCTCCATTGTGATCCAAACACCTCAATGAAACAATTAGTTCAGATTACTGAGATTGCATTTTATATAAAAATCGAGAAAAAACTCTTGTAACATACATAGGAAAAAACTATATTAATTCTCTATGAGATGTAATATGGATAAAATATAGACTATTTGTGGTAGATAGCATTACGATGTGTTTAGTAAATTAATTAATTTTTTGAAATCGTATCTGTATAGTCCAAAGTCTTTATAATCCATATTAATTGGTATCAATGGCTGGGGAATAACTAACTTTGTTTTGACATTAAAAAAAAATATCTTTGTAAATCTTTTTTAATTTGCAGTTGTTATTAAAACTCATTATTGTAATTTTAGGTAGAGGCTTTAAAACTTAAAGTTTTTTATTGTTGGTCTTAGTTTCTGTTGACTGTTTATTAACTAATTGAAATATTGTTGATTCCAAATAATTCTCCACAGTAGACTTGACCATTTCCGATTTTACAACCATTATAAATTATGTTTAATGTTTATTTGAGTAATTTGTATCCGGTTGGTATTTCCGTTGGTATTCCGTATTTCCGGTTGGTATCCGGTTGGTAACTTTTTTTAAAACTAATTTTATAGTTTTTATTAAAGCATGCCTTGGGCTAAATATAAAGAAGATGATGTCTTTGTTGGGATTAATAATATTGATATGAGCTATAATCAACCAATTGCAATGTTATTTTTTATTAAACAATCCAATGTTTTATCACTGAAAGACACAAATTACAGTATTGCTTTTTTATTTATAACACTATGTAATATATTGTTACTTGAAAAAAAACTTAAAAAA